ACACACACACACACACACACACACACGACGCCTCAGGAAAGCTATCCATCACAAGCAGCTTCATTCCTCACTGTGAAAAAGATGCAGAGGCTAGTTGCCCGTCCCTCTGACCTCCGACCTCAAATATTTGTGCGCCTACACATGAACGCACAAGTACACATTAGGGAATTCAGCAATAGGTGGTCGTGTGGTGGTGAGAAGCAAAAGAGGAGAAACAACATGTCTCCTTGTGGTCATTTTACGTCTCTTTTTCACCATGTGATTGTTTTTCTAGAAAAGAAACAAAGGCCCTGGCCCAGGACCCTTGTTAGGCTTCGGTACTGGTACTGCTCCAGTCACAGGTTTGATCCCCAGCAGAGCCTGATGGAGATGTCTTCCTCTTCTGGCCTACCGCTGTTTTTGACCTCCATCATGAAAGTCACACACGCTTAATATATTCAAAAGGCAATTACCTAATTATACTTCATGCATAATGAGGAGACGCAGTGAGAGGGGACGTAATGGAGGGCCGGAGCTGAGAGAAATAATTCATGCTTTCTGCTTGTTGACCCTCTTTCTGCTTTCAAACCCCCAGTAGAAACATGGCGGATGGTTGAGGACGAGAGGGAAAGAGGGCCTTCCTCCGTCCTATTGGATGTTTTCATTGTACTCGAGAGCCTCCCCTAACAACGCCCGGCGCTGCAGCTCGGTAACCTCTTCCACCACGTTCCTATGGTAACAACCCAGGGCGTGTGCCCCTGGGAGATGAGCTGAGATTGTTTGTGTGTGTTCATTAGATAGCTTTTTTTTTAACTTAATGAATCAATTATGAAGGCTGGGGACAAGCTCATTTGAATAATCAGACCCAAAAAAAAGCAAAACATGATTTTACTGAGCAGCTTCACACATCACATCTCTCCCTGTGTGTGTGTGTGTGTGTGTGTGTGTGTGTGTGTGTGTGTGTGTGTGTATTATGGGACGTCCAACTGGCATCATTTGTCTGCCAATCTGCATCCTGCTCGCCAAACCCAGCCACCATAATTGCCTCAGTGAGCAAAGCTATGGCATCTACATGTCTCATTTTTTAAATAGTCCATTATAAGGATGAAAGTGTCACATCGCCCCCTACTGTCCTCTGTCGGTGCAGGATTCTGATTAAAGCAAATAAAATAAGTCACAAAAGCCTAAAAACAAATGGATTAATTATTAAAAGTGATCATATTATTATTATTATTTTTCTTCCTTTTAGCATCAGGATGTTTTTGCACAAGCAGACAAGATTTAATGACATTGCACTAATTTTCACAAACCTTTTCTTATTTTTATTTCTTTTCATTTCATCTCAAGCTGCAATGAAATTAATTCTAATAGAATTAAGAAATAGTTAACGGTGTTGATTGTGGTTCAATACACAACAAACTAATAGAATTTGTTATTCTTCAGTTTTCTTTCTGTTTTTATTTTGTCACTCTGCCACAAAATATAAAATCTAAATAAATGTTGAACCCATGTAATGATGAAGCCATCAGTGAAATCTGGACGAGAGAATAAACAGGAGGATGTGATTATGAGTGACAGGTTGGCGTCTCTCAGTTATGTTTTTAATCAGAAGATTATGTGTTTTTAATTAAGATGTGAGGAGGTTAATGAACATTTATCTCTGCTGCTGTGAGAACCTTGTTTGGATTAATACCTGGTGTTTGAAAGTGAATAATTATTGATCCATGCGTAAACAAAGCTTAATTAATGCTTTAATTAAAATCTTTATTGATTCTTTATCAACAGAATATTGATGAATTTTTAGAAATATTATTTGAGAATCAAATTAGTTGCTGAACTACACACTTTTATTATTGTCAACAAAATAAGACAAATGACTTCAAACTGCAGGAGCTGCTGTTCTATATGCAGCACAACAGCACTACCCTGTGGTCACTGATTGCTACATTTATTTCATTCAGCTCAAACTCCAAGAAGCACCCCGTCCTCCACTCTCTTACAGAACAGGAGACTGGAAACTGAAGGGCGACTGGAATCCTTGAACAAGAAATTCACTTCTTTGCTCGTCTGGAAGAGTTTCTGTCTCTGAGGCTGCCTCTCCTCGTCGTAGGAGTCCTGAGGTTTTTCGAGGCCTGCTGGATCCTTGAAGCAGACGTGGCGTCCTGCTTCTTGCTCAGCAGTGTCCTTGTGAGGCTGGTTCCCTGAACGCACTCTGCCGACACTCCGAGGGCTTCCGAGCATCTGGAAGGACGATGCTTAACGGTGACGGCTGAGATGCTCTGGTCTGATTCCTCCAGATAGTCCGTACTGTTGTGGAAGGAGCTCAACTGATTCTCTTGCATTTGTAAAATATCATCCAGGTTCACGCCTGATAAGAGTTTTATTTCCTTCCTGGACATTTGTGTGTGTTTGGCCTTTGCTCACTTGCTTCCATCATCTGTTGGCTTTTTGAGCGTGGCCCAACCTCGACCTCCCATCTTCTCCTCTTCATCACTAAACCTGCCTTTTGCGTTGTGAGACTCGACTCGACAGCAGCAGTAGAGGGTAAAACTGTGGATGGAAACTGTTTGGATCTGAGGATGAGGTCCTCAATGGAGGCCTCTCTCTGGTGGAGCAGAGGCTGCGAACACAGTGACCTGTGAGCTGAGCGCAGACTAAGTGATGCTTGATCACTGCCGAATATGAAGAGATCGAAAAACATCTGCAGCACAACAACGCATCTGAATCAGATTCATATAAGAGGGAAGTGTTCATACAAACACGTTTCCTTTATACGTCACCTCTCTACACACTGAACAGTTTATTTAAGGTCTTCCAGGGTTTTATATTCAGTGTCAAACGACTGAAGCGTTGAGCATCTGATTTTCATAGAAATAAATAAATAAATCATTTTCTCAAATTGTGTCCTGACCCCTGCAGCCATGGAGTATGTACATCGTGGCTCTCAGGGGTTTTATTTGATTTATTTTTAAGAGAATAAAATATTAATACAAGATAATAAGATGTCAAAGTGCCGCCTCTTCTGTGAATGTGTTAATTCACACAATTCAGTTTTCTGTTCTCACCTTAAATCTTGAACACTTGTGACATCATTACCTGCTCAGACTAAATAAATAAACATGGACGACATGACAGCCCCCTGAAAGAGGTCTCTGTCTTCACCTAGTGGCTGGCTGCAGTATTGGTGAAAGACCCTGCCTCCCTAATGTTCGTGGATGGGACATGGAGGGGTCCCACTGATACACACACTCGACCAATCATGGGTCAGGCTCTATAACGTTCATCACTAAGTTAAGAATTACCTCAAACGACAGGAACCATCGTTGAAAATATTTATTTGACAATTTTCCTCCAACATGGAGGAGGCGGGACTTATGACCTATAAGCTACTGGTGGACATTGAGACATTTCTGGATCCGTCATGTTGTCCATCTTCCAGCAGTTTATATGTAAAAGACACCCATACTGAGATATAGGTTACAAATCCAGATGCTAATATTGTTATATGATCTTAAATGAAAATTTGATTCAATGTCAGGTTAATACGTTCGTAGCTTGTTCAGCTACAATTCAATTTTTGTACCTTCATCTTTGTCCAAAGTCCAGACATGTTGGTGAGGAATGTGATCACCTCCACGTCTCCTCCCCGGATCCTCCTGCAGCTCTGGAAGTGAAGGATCAGCTTGTCCTCAATCCTTCCTTCTGGGGGACATGGGACACAACCACTGGTCCTGCTACTGTCCCGGAGTGTCTCCATCAGACAGTTTTCACTCTCTCTGCCTGAAGCTGTAATAACAGCAGTGACACCCTTTGACCACTGAGGGGCTCTGTTTCCCCACATTTCACTCACTCTGCAGACGTTTTAAATGCAAACTGGCTCATTTATGCAGATGGAGATGAGGCTACAAAGAAAAACAAATGTCTCTGCAATGCCCAACAGGCACAGATACAAACTGCACAGCAACATCCTCAGAGAAGTTGCCTCATCTGATAGATTCTTTAAAAAAAACATCCTGCAACAAGTAGATGTTCTATTAGAGCGACCATTTGCTGGCTGTGAATTAATACTCGTCTTTTTGGCTTTCAGAGAAAGTTATGTCGACACGTGTGGTGAAAACATTTATTAGAGTCGAACAAGAATAAAAAGAAAGGCCACGCCGGACACAGAACTCCTCTTATGATTCACACAAAGAGAACCCCCCCCCCAAAAATGAAGTAGTGACAAACTTGATTGCATTTTTCTTGTGCATATAAACATTTTTAATTAAATATAAAAGAAAGTGGCCTGGCTGAGTGCAACACACATGTATGAGGGGGCTAAGAGAGGAAAATCCAGGCCCCGTCTGATTTCAATCAAATCTCCATCCTTGATCGTCACTTCAGTGCAAACGCAACATTCACTGTGTAGAACCGTGATGTTAAATTATTCAGGTAGTGGATCTATTATTCAGTGTTTATTATTGTATGGGCTCACATGGTACAAGTGCTGCGGCGTGTTTTATTGTTGGGAGCATGTTATACAAGAGACGACACCCGTTCACGTGAGCCTAACAAGAGATTACTTCAGTTTCAAACTGGAGCACAGCGACAACTTTACTGATCTAAGTTGATTGAATCAATTAAATTAACTTAATTTGATATGAATGCGAAATTGATATGAAATTATATGCTCTAATCTTCAAAAGTGGGCACAAAAACCTTCTTGAACCAGACTCTGGTTGATTATGTGTATGTTTTGCTGGATATGATGCTGCTGTCACACTCGTACACCTGCTATGAAATGAGCCAGAGTGGAGACACAAACATCTTAGCTGGCAAATAAATCCTAAAGCTCTCTGAACACTTTCACTTTTAAACAACAAACTGTTTTTTTTAGAAAAGAGGAAGCCTCAGATTTAACTCAGTGGCCATTTTACTAACAAACCCGAAGTGGTGGGTGCTGCTGCCTGTTGGCCAGAGAAAATTTAAAAAGAAACTAAAACAAAATAATAAAAAAAAGAAACATTCATTCTTCAAATCATTAGATACTGTTCTTGATTTGGACAGGGTCTGGGAGACAGTCCAGACTGAGGCAGCAGAGGCAGGTGGTTGGATGTGCGTTGATGTGGCGCTCCTTAGATGCACCGAGATCTCGGCAGCTATGAGCCGGCTTTGTGTCTGGTGTTTATTCGGAGTTTAAAAGGAAGCCCGGGGGCTGCGGTGGTGGAGCGTGGTGCTTGGGACAGCGTATCTGGAAGGTAGCACGGCAAAGATAGAGTGTGATGGGGCCAGGTCTCTGCTGGGAGCGTCTCTGGTTGTGTTTCGCAGCCAGGGCTGGTGGTCCAACAGCCGCGGGATCAGTTCGCCCCCTTCGCAGAGCTCTGCTGGGAGGAGGTTGGAGTCTGTACAGCTGATCCCCTCCGGAGGATCTGTCACTTCCAGGATGTGAGTGCTCACTGCAGACACACACACACACACACACACAGTCAGCAGCAGTGCCAGTAAATAAAACAACTGTCATGGGTGAAGAGAAAAATCAGACCTGCACCATCGGGAGGCTTCAATAAACTGCTGCAGTCAGCTTTTAAGTGTTCGGGTTCGATCGACGGTCAAACCTGTTGCAGTGTGCTCAAGAAAAATAATATAAAGCAATAGCTGTGTTTTTAATGCTTCTTGATTGATTAAAATATAAAAAAATAAGATTGTTTCTAATGGAGGGATTGTTGACGTGAGCACCTGAATAATGCAGAAAAAATAAACAGCTCAGCGAGTGCAAAAAAAATAATTACGCCACAATATTTGAAATAATCAGCACATTTCTTTCAGCACCAATACCGCCAGGGCTGCAGGTTGCACTGCCAGGTGTGGATTCTGCCCCGTCTGTAATTTATTCTGCTTACATTTACAAACACGACGCCTGCTCGCACAGCAACGGAGCGCAGCAAGCATATTCTGACACAATAAAGAAATGTGGCGTTATTTCAGGTAATCTGCCAAACAGACGACGCAGCAGCTGGATTTATCACGGGATTCGTTTCCGTTTTATGACTGGCGTCTTCAAACCTGATGTTTGACAGCATATTGCCTGAATTCCTGCACATAGCTATGAAGCTATACAAGGTTGATATCGGGCGCCTCTTGCCGTAGAGAAGAGGTCTGACTGCCGGTGACACGAGGTTCCCTGAACTCAAGCCTCCCTCTGGACTTCCTATTACCTGCTTCACCTACACTGAGATCTGAAGACAGAGATTTTCTGCTGGCCTTCCTCCCATGACCGCTACGCCAAACCCCCAGTGGACCCTGAGGACACAGAGGACAGTTAGAGGTGGATTTGTGGGAGGTGCGGAGACCATTTACATCATTTTGAGACAGTTGCAGGTGATCACAATAAAATCCCATGTTTAGCGATGGAAGACATTTGGGGTCCGTGACTAACCTGGTGTTTGGTAACCATGTGGGCAGTGTTGATCAGCGGATGTCTGATGGAGGGTTTGTAATGCAGAGGTTGGCCCAGTAGAGAGTAGTGGGCTTCACCTGAAGGTCACAGGAAAAATCCATGAAGTGCATGAATTACTGTTGTTCTCCAATCTGCCTACTGCGTCTGCTTTAGTGAGCGTGCAGGCTAAATTCAAAGTGTTATAGAGATGTTATCATCGTGAGCTCATGGTGATAATTTACAAGGCAAAAAAAATAGAGTTTCGTTTGCTGTTAAAATGAAATCATTTTTATAATTAACTTGCTAACAGGTTTTTTCCTGTGATTAAAATGTACCAGACTCAGGATTAAGACACAAACATAATTTCCTCTGTTTTAATTAGACGGCCATGTTGGTGAGCATTGTGCGCTCTTGAACTGTGGTGTGTGTGAGTGAGTGAACCCTGAGTGGCCCGCGTGTGTCTCCGACCTTGTCCACTGTGGCAGAAGGCTGTAGGGAGCTGGGGGTGGTGGGCCATGACAGGGATGGGCGAGATGCCTGGTGGGAGGCCCTTGACGCTGGGCAGCTGGCCTGGCGAGGGAGTGAGCGCCGGGGACGAGGGCAGGCTGCTCTACACACAACACACCGACGGGGGCGGCGGGAGGGAATGGGGAGAAAACACAAAACAATTTCATTCAAAAAAAAAAAAAGCAAACCTCAGCTTCGGCTTCCTTTCACAAAGTCATTTTGTCGTTCGAGCCTTTGCTTTAACGCACCATTCCATCCACATTAGTCCCACTAATGTTCCATTACAACCTAATGCTAAGGACTGTTTTGTCCTCATTTTCAGGTTGCGGCAGTGTTGACTTCATTTGCAGAGCCTGTTTACCATGACATTAACCTACATGCCTGCAGGGAGGCTGGTTTTAGCCCGAGCACTGGCTTTAACATTAGTTTTAACCCTCTGACATCAGTATTGTCGTATGTGACTAACCTTTTCTAAGCACATATAATTTCACTTGAAATGATCAGGAAGAAGCTAAACCTCTGGGCCACTGATTAAATTAAATGTTTTTAAAGCCATAAGACAATAAATGAGGTTTTAAATAGAATCGTATCACTTTCAACTATTAGGTGAAAATGGCTTTATTGCATTTTGTGTGATTATCTCCTCATAGTCTAAGCACTTGGGCAGCGTTTGTACCTGGGTGATGTCTGGAAGCGGTGGGAGCTCAGCAGGCCTGCGGCTGCGCTGGTTCTCGGGCCCTGGGTGTTTGTAGCCGGGCTGTTTCCGCTGGCAGGGGGAGGGGGCCCGGGGCTGCTGGCATGGGGGCGCTGTCATTTGCAGCATCACCATGCCACTGCTGGGGGCCGGTGGTAACAACCCTACACACACAAACACACACACACACACGTAACATAATTGATAGACACCTTATGTAAGTATTTTCATTTAATTCATCACCTCAACTCGTCATCTATGCACCAGAGTAAACCCAATAACCAAATGCGTTTGTGCCCAAAAGCTCCTTTTCAGCACTTTTGTTCAGCAACGTGCCTCATCAGTGAAAACTCTCACACCGTTAGCTGCTGAACAATTAGGCTTTAAGTGCCTTGATTATAAAAGGCACATCCGTGGTGCATTAACAGACCATTCCCTTTTCCGGCTAAATCCACCGCGATGATCCGAGAGATCCAATTATCTAATGAGTTTCTGACGCATGGCTGTGAATAATGTGACTTTAAAGGAAAAGAACAAACACGTGGAGATGTGACCTCCTGCTCTGTGAACTCAAAAATAATACAACACATTTACATCTAATTAATTTCTCTTTACATAAAAACTGGAAATCATATGACAAACTTTACACAGCTGACGCCGCTGTTGATTCATGGAATAATACCTAATAACAGTTGCAAGGACAGTGGATATTTGGACTTAATCTGCCGATTATTTCTGGCCCCGGCACAGCCAATTAAAAATGTTTACTGGTGATGCTGTAGGTAACGCATCCGCGAGACCTTCATCTGACCTCATTACTGACGAGCTGAAAATGATGGCTCCCTCCGCTGCTTTCCCGTGATATCAGACATGAATAATAAAGGTCATTAGTGAGGCGACCGCCCCACCTGAGTCTCTGGACAGTGATTCTGTGAGTCTTCTAAAGGCCAACACCAAACAGGAGGGACATGAAATAACTGTCTCATACCTCAAAAAGGCTAAACCCTGGAAGAACCCATTTTACCACGTGTATTTTTCCACAATCTTTTGCTAGTTTTCTTCTGTAAACAACTGTTTAACATCTTGCGTAGTACATACCTTTTTTTTTAAAACCAACTCAACCAATATACCGTTATCACTTTATTCAAACCCCGAAATGTCAATACTGTTATTGACTTCAATAATCAAGTATCAGTCAGGACACGACATCATCATCTACTTATTGTGTAAGTAGCTTGGATCACATTTTTTGTCACTTACATTTTTATTTCTTTAATCAAACACAATACAAATCCTCCTTAATTCCTTCCATGTGACATGAAGATGGTGATATATTGTGTGTGTATGTATAACTGCATAACTAATATCAACTACTGAATATCTTTAAAATAATTCATGAGGGGCTTCTTGTAAATAGCTGTGCTGCCATCACATGATAAACTACACAGAATCGTCATTTAGGAGGACGACAGTGAGGAAACCCAACATCAGTGATTTCTTATTTCAATCGTTTTTCCAAAAATGCTGAAAGAGTTGTCAACATAACGTTTGGTGGTGGAGGTGGATGTGCAAAAATCACTGTCACGCATCCAAACTCTGAAGGGAGCTGTCGTCACCCTGCTCCTTGTTTTCATGCAGATGTTGGAATTTTCAGCTTTAGAGGTGAGCTCACCTGCGTACTGTTGGCCTGGGTGCTGCTGGGAGACACAAGGGGACGAGGACTGGGGAAACTGGAGCTGCTCCATCATCTGGGTGGGCAGGAAACTCACTGTTGAACTGCAAAGAACAAACAGCAAGTGTTTTTTTTTGGGGGGGGGAGTTGTGTAGCGTTCACCAAATTAAATTAGACTTTTAAAAACCTCCCAGTCTAATATGACGCTCACTCTTACGGCGGCCTTTACAAAAATCCCTTCTAAACCTGCACAGACGTAAATCTCCCGGAGCTGCAAGACCCTCGAGATGCAGCTGAGGTATTAAATTTGAAATTTAACAGCAAAGTCCATCTGCGGAGTGGGCACGCTGCTCCGTGAGCACCCCGCCTGCAGGGACTCGTGTGCAGCTGGTGAAAAAGCAGGCTGCAGGTGGACAGTCCATCCTCATGGGAGTAGAGTGAGCTGTTCCGGACGCTACCGCATAAATCATCTCCACGACAACTGCCCTACTAACGCAGCCTCATTTTACAGCTGGGACAATGAGAAAGTCACCTCCCTCTCTCTGTGTGTGTGTGTGTGTGTGTGTGT